GGGCTGGCTGGCATGTGGTGCTGGGGGATTGAACCTGTGCTTTGCTTAGCTTGTTCTAAGTAGGTGCTTTAGACCACTGAGCCATCTCACCAGCCCCTACAACATTATAATTCTATAATTGATTTCTTTCTACTTTCTGACTTTCCATTCATCAACCCACTAGCTGATTTATTTTCAAAAGTGGTACACTGGAGAACAAGGATCAGCCAGGCTGAAAGCTCCAAAAGGGTTTTGCCACTCTGCAGTGAGGGCTGTATGTTATCAACTCAGTTCCTAAGTCATCCCAGGGGTCATTCACATAGAGGCAGAAGTAAAACAGCCCTCTTTGAAAGCATCAATTGCCATTCTTGCTCATCGGTAGTTAACTACAAGTGTCAGCCTTCGGATAGAACTGCTTTATCTTCCTCCTTAAATCACCAACTTTTCTCTTTCCTTAGAGCGAGAAGTAACTCAGGGATTCCTAATAACCTATCTTCAGATATTTAAACTTTAAGGTGAAGGGATCTTAAAAAACTGGGATCAAACTCAGGGCCTTAAATATACTAAGTGTGTGCTGTACCACTGAACCACGTCCCCAGTCTAAAAAACTTTAAGAATACTTAGTGAGGGCCAGGGAGATGGCTTAGTGGAATAAGCACTTCCCTGGCAAGCGCAAGGGCCTGAATTCAATCCCCGGTTCCACAAAAAAAAAAAAAAAAGAATACTTAGAGGAGCCTTGAATCTCTGCCCGTTGCCAGTAGCAGGGTTTACTTCATCTTACAGTTCCTTTTAGCTCTCTCTTGAACAGCTTCTTAGTTATATTTCTCTGTTTCAGAGATGGCTGAGCGATTGCATCGTGTCACTGTGCTGCAGATACACTTCTGTGATTGGCGTTGGGCCTGGGAGCAGAGGCAGAGCTTGTATGCCCACCAGGCCCTAGTGGAAGAGCTGGCCAGGAAGATGGCACTGCGGAGGGTCTTCTCACACTGGAAACACTGTATCTTTTTTAGCTGTCTCAGGCAGTATGGTCTGAGCTCAACAGGATGTAAAATAGGTATCAAAGGGAAGCAGTGGCCAAACAATTTAGGACAACCTTATCTCTGTTGGTTTATTTGAAAAGTGATTTAATTGGGGCTATGCAAACAGTATTTTTAACATATATTTACAGTTTAATCAATTGTAAAAATGAACCACTGACCAACTTTAAAAGTAGAATGTTTTGTTAGCACTTTCGTGATGCCCCTTTACCTGGCCCCAGAAAGTTTTATTCTTTATTTTTTCTATTATCATTTGTTTTCTCTATCCACAAGGTAGTGGAAATAGCCACACACATCTGTTCCTTTTTTGTTGTTGTTGTTTGAGACGGTCTTGCTATGTAGTTCAGGCTGCTTAAACTCACCATCCATTTAGCCCATGTGGCCTTGAATTTGAGATGATACTCAGCCTCCTGGGTGCTGAGATTACCACTGTGTGCCACTCTGCCCAGTATCAAGTCTGTTTCTTAGTGACATCATTACATGATCATAATTTCCATTTATTTGAGCTTTCAATATTTTCAGGCATTATGCATTATTCTCAGTCCTTGCAACAATCCTACGTACTTATTATCACTATCTCCATTTATAAATGGGAAACAGATTTAAAGGGCTAAGTGTTTGTTTGTGTTTTCCTTTTTTTAATTTTATGCATTTAGTATAGGGTCTCACTACGCAACTTGGACTCGTAGTGATCCTCCTGTCTCAGCCTCCCCAGCGCTGGGATTACAGGCGTGTGCCACCATGCCCAGTCTTGGTGGCTGACTCAGCATGCATGAGGACTGGGGATCAAGCTCAGGCCTTTGGGCTTGCCTAGGCAGGCGCTTAGACCACTGAGCTCCACTGTGGCCCCACTAAGTGATTTTTTAAAGTCATTGACAGAGCATAAACCTTTAGTCCTGTATACATGTTCTTAATCACTATCCCTACCACTCTGTGTTCAAGTGTGAGAATTTGGACTGCCCCAGATGTTTATCCACACATTCATTTGTTCATTATAGTCATTTTTGAGATCACATTCCTGTTTAAGTTCTGCTTTATGGGGGAAACTCAAAGACTGTAACAGTGTTCATTGTCTTGTGGGGAAAATAAGCATTAAAAAGGATTTTAGCAGTATGGTGTGAAAAGTGCTGCCATAAAGCTTTGTGTCAAGTCCTGTGAGAGCCACTATGCAAATTCAGGCAGGAAGGTAGTTATAAGCCTTAGAGATGGCAAGTTCCCACAGCAGAGAGGTTGGGAAGGGACTTTCAGTTGGAAGGGACTGTGTTTACATAGTTTATAGGTGAAGAAAAGCTTCCAAGAGCCTGTAGAGAGGTAAGGGTATGGCTGACGATTGGGAAGATCAGTACAAACTGGCAATAAGGGCTCTTGTGTGCAGAGCTCAAGACTTTGGGCTTTATCCTGATGGCATTGAGGAACCTCTGGATGTGTTCATGAAGAGAAGCAGTTAGATGTGTGCTGTAGAATGAACACTTCTGCATTAGAGAGGCTTGCTCAGAAGCCCACCTTCATGTGAGGAGTCATACTCACCTGTCTATGTGAGGGATAAGTCACATGAACTAGAGAGACAGAACAGCAGAAGATGGAGACGGAACAGCACCATGCGCTAGGAGAGCAAATGGGCCTGGTGTCTGAGTGGATTAGAGAGAATGGCAAAAGAATGGGTGTGAAGATGGGTAAAAAGAATGGGTTTAAATGGATAAAAAGTTCAGGTTTTCAGCTCAAACATCTGACTAACGTGCTAGCAAAACAAAATGCAGAGAAGAATCAAGTTCTGCTTGAGAGATGGTGATATTGCAATGTCTATTAAAATTGATGGCAGCTTATCTCAGGAACTTTTGACTTCGTATCAAATGGGCATCATAGGAGAGAGGCAAGGCCACTTGTTTGGTGAGGAATTTCCATGGTCCCCTTTCCCTATTGCTTCACTGGTTCACCACAAGGAATCAGAGGTGGACATCACATTAGCCCACCTGGCAAGGCTGTTACTTCTACAGCTGTGAACCTTCATGTAGGTCTTGGGGGAAATGTGGGGGCGATCTTTGTGGAGACCGGAGGCCTTAATTTCCTGACAGATGTGTTACTGTGTAAAGAAGAAACTGCCCAGCATGAGGTAGCAGAACAGCACCACCAGCGCATTCTGCTGGTAAGAACACTGCAGCCTCATGTGGATTTGTTCCTTAGTCTTTTTTGCGACCATGTTTGGGGGACCCTGACCTGCCCTGGCTTGCAGTGCATAGCCAGCTCTGGGCTATGTTTAGGCACAAAGCCCTAGTCTAGGTGCTGGTTGATCCCTGGTACCACACATGTTTAGGCTTTGTGCCTACACATAGCTTAGAACTGGCTAGATACTGCAAGCCAGGGCAGGGACATTGTGAGTGTTCCTGTTTGCACAATGGATCAAAGAAATTAATGATATGGGGCCAGATAACAGAGCTTAAAGTCATGATGAGGAACTTGAATCAAGGTCTTGGGAACAAGTTCTGGCTCTGCTATCTCCTCTTCCCTATCCCTACCACATATCTTTTTTTTTTTTTTTT